CGGCCAGAGGTGGTATTCAGCAGTTTCTGACCAGTTCTGGAGAACCAGTAGCGGAAAGTTTGAGTAGTTTAGAGAACCGGTAATTACCACCTCTCACTGGCCCTGCCCTCATCTATTCTCTGTCTTTTGAGTCCCAGATGATCTGGAGGAAATGGGGATTTTGCAGTAACCGTCCCCTGGAGTGGGGTGGGAATGGAGATTTTNATAGTTTAAGATTATAATTAGCCCACCTGTTTCCCCATTAACATGCAAATACATTTTTCTTGTTCAGAGACTGCATGAGAGATTTCCCAGTCTTTGCAAAATATCACACATTCACATAAAGGGAGCAGCAACTCCTCTGTGAAGAGGGGGGGAGAGTTCGACTTCTCTGCCATTTAAAGTCTGCAGCAGGGAGAATCCCAACTTTTTTCCTCTCCCTTCATTCACAGAGAAGCTGCGGCTTCCTTTATGTTCCCCCTGGCCTCCTCCCTCCCAGGGAACCCACCTGAAAGGGACAGGCAGGCTGCCACAGCTTCGCTGAGAAGACATTTCTGAGAATGTCAGAAATGTCTCCAGTCCGGCTGCACCCGAGCTGGTGGAGCGCCCGTGCGATCAGAGCAACCACATGGCTCACCTGCACTGGCTGTCTCCCTGGTGATGGGTGGGCGGTTGCGGACGCTCCACCAGCTCGGGTGCAGCAGACTGGAGAAGTTGGCACGGCAGTGACAGGCAGGTTCTAGGATGTCTGCCCACCAGTAAGGGACCTTCACGCACAGCACTTTTCTCAGCACAGGGACATGGACGGGGCAAGTGTTCCAGAACTTACTTCCGGGTCCACCAGTGGAAACTCCTCGCACCGGATTTGTAAATTTCACCATCTGGTTCTCCTGATCCGGTGCGAACTGGCAGAAACCCACCACTGATGTAGAGCCTCTACAAATGCCTACTGATGGTCACACTCTAAGAAAATTTGGTAGTCCTGAATTCTACCTATTGGGCAAGAAGAAAAGGAATGGAAAATTGGATAACTGGCACATTTATATGTGGAAAACATAGGGAAGGTATGCTGGATTTGAATCTGAAAGAATTTGAGGTAGGATGACAGCTTTTACTGATACAAAATATTAACAGTTGAAAAGAGGTTCAGTTCCAGAATTACAATATGAATTCAGTCTTAGTTATGCTTTGAAGAATTCTGGGAAGTGCCCAGTTAGTGGAACCCAGCAATTAAATTCTACTCCATAGTCTATTTGATAGTCTTCACCTTTGTTTTGTATTTATAAAAAAGTATGGAAGAATTAATCACAGATCTACTTGTATTTATATGATATAACAATATCATGAAATAATCTAGGGCAAGGAAAGACAACCTATAGTTCACCAAATGTTGTTGAATTTCAGTTGCTAACAACTCCAACCAGCATACAATATTAGGTGATGCTAAATATTAGAGAACAGCTAGATGAAAAAGAAGTCATTGCAATCTTGCTTCATCACCAGCCATTTATTTCTCCTTGTTAGAAGAATTATAAAAAGTGCCCCTTCCCTGAAAAAATAAATCCTCTGAACTACACTGGATATATTTCTGAACCCTCTTCTATAATTCAGAGCTGTAGTTCAGCCACAAATGAAGGATTACAGCTCACTGCACTCAGAAAACATGATTTTTGACCTTCGGAAGCCTGTGTGATTCTGGTTTTTGTTTTTTGTTCAGTATGTAGTTGTTGGACTCCCAGAACATCTCATTGTCCTCATAAAAAATTTATGTATAGGTCATAAACATATTATAAGAACCTATTAGTGCTGAGATTCAATTGCAAAAGAACAAAAAAAAAAAACAAGAATATCATAGCAATATAATTACCATGAGAATCTCAATGACATATTTTTCGACAAGTGAAAACCCGGAGAGATGGTTTTTCATTTTGAGTGCTGTATTGATGGCATTATCATCATTAGTGTACTTTAAAAGTTCTTCTCTCACTTTATCATCCGAATGGAAGATTCCTTTCAGTACAAGGTTCTGAATATTTGAACAGGTTGAGAAAACTAATTTTGAAGGAAGAAAAGAGCAAATTATGCATGATTAAGGAAATAGTTTGACACTCTTTTCATATTGAATCTTTCTATTTTTAACATTTATTGAAGCCAGGATATTGAGTTAATTTATCAGAGAATCCCTAATAATTAGTCATGTCGTCTCTTTTTCAGATATGATGTGTCCTATCTGACAGGGTAAACATTCCATAAACAATTTTAGGGGATGGGGGGACAGAAACAATATACATGAGCATGTATATAATTTAGTGTTGAAAGCATGCCTCTGGAATACATACAATTGCACACATATTGTAACTCACTTTAAAAGGTAAATATTACATTTCCTTAGAATTGAGTTCGGCTCCTGGAGATTTCACAGGCACATTCATGAAGTTTCCTTGATAACGATTGGAAATGGTTTTCTATTGACATGTTCCAGGATATTTTAGTTTACAGCTCTGGGATTTCTTGATAGACTCTCTTAGAAGCACTAACCAGGTCTGGCCCTATTTAACCTTTCAAGTTGAGATATAGTCAGCTAGGGACTGCCACTTACCTGGACAGTTTACTATAAACGATCAGGAAATTGAATTTTGAGGGTTAATTTTTGAATGCCAGGGAAGTAGAAGGGTTTTTTGTAAAACACTTCCTATTTCATATTTAAATCACTGTCAGGTTATGGGATTGCCAAGAAAATTATTTGGACTTGGGTGTTCTGTAGAATTTAATAAATTATATGAAAAATTCCAAATAAATAAATTTAAATCTCATAATTTATAAGTTTCCGAATTTTTTGAGACACTCCAACAAAACCAGTTTAATGCTATTAATTTTAGCTTGACTAAACTTATAAACATGGGGTTCCAGTAACATTTATTATTAAAATTGCACGTTTAATTGCATTAGTCATAGGTGACAATAATGATACTTACCTGAGCCACACCAACATGCCAAGATGAGGAACAAAAACACATGAATTGACTTCATAGTTTCAAGGAAAGATGCCTACTGGATGCAGTACAACTCTCACCAACTTGTTTAGAACCTCAGCAGCCATAATTTATAGGAACTAGGAGGAGTGACCTTCCTCCAGCACTGAATAGCAAGTCCGCTGATGTTCTGGGATTCATAGACTATTTTTACAGATCGAATCAAAAGTCAAACCCACTAAGCAACTTTTTCTTGTTCTCTTCAAAAGCTGTGGGGAAAGAAAATACCATCAAGTGCTTTAGTTTATCTCAGAAGATTTACAGAAGAAGAACACAATTACATTACAGTTTTACACAAGAAGAATACAATTACACAATTACATTACAGTTTTANTTTATTTTTTGTTTTTTTTTTAATAAGGGGCCCCCCCAGGAAAAATGGGCAAGGAACGAGAGGAGCTGTCAGTCTCCAGTAGCGCTAGGACATGCGTCTCGCTTCTCCACCCCAACCTGCCACCCCTCGCTAAAGGGATGGTGGGGAAGGGAACCAGGCAGGCTGCCTTTACCATTGGGCAGAGTGGGAGGTGTTGGGCTGCGAGGTACGCCTCTTATCATTCTGGCTTCGTCACGTTCCTCGCTATTGTGTCCAGAAAAGCCCCTGGTTAAAAAAAAAAAAAAAAAACACCTTTCTCATGAGTTCAAGAAGTTTAATTGAACTCATGAGAAGGGGTTTTTTTTAGCAGCAGCTTCCCTGGACACAATGGCGAGGAACGGGCAGAGCTGGAAAGGTAAGAGGTGCCCCTCACTTTTCGCCTGCCCCAGAAAATACCCCCCCCAAATAATAAGGCCAGGGTCATATTTCAAGGTCCAAAAGAAAATAAGACCCTGTCTTATTTTCGGGGAAACGCGGTAGATGAACTGATCCTTGAAGTTTTTGGCTCATTGTTTATGGATAAGCGTGATGTCTGAAGTCATCCAAACATAATTTATCAACAAATTATAATTAACATCTCTGGCTTAGTACAATGAACCAGGCAGTATTATGGCTAGGGTTTGCTAAATCCATGTCTGGCATCCTGGCTTTTAAAGCAATAGCAGGTCTTACCCCCTCTCAGTTTTAACCAAGATGAAGACCTTGTCCCCCAAAAGTGGGGGAGAACTAGACCTTTGATCCATAGTCATGCCTCCTGTGCAGTGGTGGGTTTCTCAGTTTGGCCTGTTCGGCCAAACCAGTAGTAGCGGTGGCAGGAGGTTCCGTCCACCCGCTGGACACTTCTGTGCATACCCAGAAGGGCTGCACGCGAGCAGGAGCGAGCCCAAACCAGTAGTGAAAAAATTGGCAGCCCACCACTGCTCCTGTGAATGAACTCAGTTATTTCTTAATATCCCATTACAGCCTAAAAATAATATATATGTAAGCTCATATATCTGGAGGTTCTTCATATTACTCCTTATAGAAGGGTGAAATGAAATTATAGATAAAGATTTATATAACAGAAAGTATTGTTATAACTTAAAAGGTGTTCTTTGCATTTCAGAACTCAAAGTTGTTCTTTAAGCATTCACCTGAGCACAGATGGGTTTGCAAATAAGTAGACAACATGGCTGTCTCTGAACTCTCCCCGTTCTGGGTGTTCAGATAAGAGAAATGACACTTGAATGGAAATGAACATGAGAGCTGGTGCTCACACTAGCAACCATCTCCATCCATTTTGATATCTCCACATCAAAAACAGAAGTGTGCCCCACCTTCAATTCCACTGGAAAGAGCACAAGAGGAAAAATCACTTTAGAAGTTTGTCTATATAGACCAGGTTTTTTTAACCTTGATAATTCTAAGATGTGTGGACTTCAACTCCCAGAATTCTCTATCCAGCATGCTGGCTAAGGAATTCTGGGAAGTGAAGTCCCACAATTTATAATTATCATGGTTGAGAAACCCTGATACAGAGGCTCCTTACTTAATATGGTTGCTGGAATTCTTCTTTTGTGAGCAGTTAATAATTTTTTTTAAGATTCACTGTTTTAGTCTAAATTGTTATAGGAGAAATCTGACCACTAAAGATGTGTTATCTATGCTACAATAAGGAAGTATTATAATCTTTGGGGATTTAAAAAAAAACTCATTCTACCCTACATCTCTAATATTCCCTATTGATTTTTCATTAAAAGCCAAATTAGATCTGATCTGATTTAGCTTAGCTTTATGAGGTTGGTCAACCACTCCTGGTCTGCCGTAGTTAGTTCCCACAGCTGTCGATGCTGATTCAGAGTTAGAGCCCCAAACTATGCGAGGGACAGAGAACTGAGTGAAAAATTGCATTTGCATTCCGCCTGGCTGACTATGTACAGGGCACCATCCCAGAAGGGATATATCTTCAACGCTATCCATCCTCAAGGCCTCACACAAGCTCAGCCACAAGAAGGCAATGTGAACAATGAACAAGCTTTTCTACTTACTTGTATGTCAGAGGCACCTGCCAACACTGAAACACCTCTTTGGCCATTTGACTCCTCTGCCAATCTCAGAGATGACGTATAGTTAACTTTTAATGAAATACTTCTTCGCCCAGCTAATATTCCCAGAATAATAATGGAAGCCTCGTTTTTCAGAGCTATTTCTATAGCATAGAAACTAATTACAGCACCTCTGGGTCCTGAGGAAAATCTATTTAATTTCATCTCAGATCTCATGCCAGAATTACTCAATTTTCTTTTCTGAAAAGTTTCACCCTCCTCTAAAACCAAGGCAAGTTTAGAAATAATTAAACCCAAATACACACCACTTAGTGGTTTCACATGAATGTAGCCGTTTGGAGTTGGGTGAGATGGTGGTTTTGTTGGTGGAGCTGCTCTGCTGCTTCTCTGGATGGTTGCAGCCGCCTGTGAGGTCGTTCTATTTGGGGAGGATAGTGGAGGAATAGCTGTCTTGGTAGAGGTTTCTTGAGAATGGAAAGTCATTTTGCTTGATGCAGTTGGCTGTTTGTCTGTAATTGTTATGGTTTTTTTGCTGAACAATGCTGGGTTTGTAGCCAGAGTGTGCTTAGGTGGTGTTGAAAGCTGTTCAGATGTTCTTGTTATACTGGACATGACAGAGGTGAAGTAAGTTCTGGCTGTGGTTGTATCCGCACCAACAGTGAAGTTTGTGACAACAGTGGGTGAGTGAAAAATAGTTACATTGAGACCAGCAGTTACATGTCCATCTGTAACAGGGCTAGGAAATGCTGTGCCATTGTTTGTGGTGTTGCTATCAGAAGCTCCTGTTGTTTCAACAGAAGGGATCACATTGCTACTTGTTGCATTATAATGGAAAAGAGTGTCTTTGATGGTATCATTTGAAGTTACTGAAACATTATAAGAAATAGCTCTGGTTTTGGAGGTAACAACAGTGGTGGGATCTAAGGGAGTGGTAGTAACAACTGGAGCACTGACTGTGCTATTGTTAGAATCTGTTAAAAGTTTACTGAAGATGGTTGTGTTGAAATATCTTGCAGTGCTATGGAATGTTCCATCTGAAACAGCTGTGGCATTTAAGGAAGTGGTGGGGAGAACAGTGGCAGAGTCTGTTGATGCAGAAGGAAGGATTCTTCTACTGGCTGGATTGCTATTGAAATCAGTGGCAATGGTAGAGATGGTAGGGACTGGTGTGCCACCAGTTTCATTTAAAGTAGTACTGATGTTCCAAAAGGGAATTACCATTTCAGTTGGGACTGAAACAGAGGACTTTGTGGGGATGGAAGATGCGGCTGAGCTATTAGCTTTGGCATTGCTAGAATTTATGATATGTTCATTAGAAGTCGTCATGTTGATCCCTCTTGCAATGAAAGAGGCTGGGATTCCACTTATAGGAAAGTCTGTTCGGTTGGTTGTGTCAATGTTGGGATCTATTGTAATTTCAGTGGGGACAGGAGTATTTCTTGCATCTGTAGGAACTCTTGTCCCAGCCATAGTATTATCTGAATCAGATATATTTGTGGGGAAAGCATATTTAGGCATTCTATCAGAAAGAGTTGTTTGGGTATTGTTAATGGAAGGAGAGATTTCATTAGTTAGGAGAGTGATTTTGAAGACAGGAGTTGAATAGGACTCAGTAGCATCTCTAGAAACGAATGGGTTCAAATCCGAGGTTGCAGAACTAATGCTAGGGGTAGTAATATTTATGTGGCCGAGACCAGATAAGGTTGATTCCATGCTCGGGATAACAGGGGAGGTGGCAGTTAACACATCGTCAGATTTTGTACTAAGAGATATACTTGACACGGTGCTGCCCATAGAAGTGGAGAACAGAGATGCCCTGCCTCCAACCAGGCCAATTCCAAGGGAATCCAGTTCAGACTGAAACTTGTTCTTGATCCACATGGCAACAGACGGATGGTTTTCAACTTCTTTCAGGTCAGGCAAATTAACACCAAGCAGATCTTTCACATCCTGGACATCAAATTTCTGCAATATAATTGCAATACTTTTGCTGATTCAGGGAGTGTCATCACAACTAGCTTTTCTGTTCATTATTATTTCTTCCCCCAAATATTCTACATTCCTTTTATCCAGAAAACATTATACATACAGCTCTCATTAGCTGAATGCACTTGTGAAATTTAAAACACTTTTAACAGCTTCTCCTATTCCACCTTGGATGCTGATAATCTTCTGAAGTTGCATGATAAAATAAATTGTACCAAGGAGCAAATTCACATCCTCCTCCTCCTCACCCAAGAGCCCTTCAGAGATGCTGGATATGTTTTTGTGCGACCCTTGCAATAGTTTAGTCTTTTCATGAAAATATATGCAAGACCTCAGGATGACATTGCCCAGGATGAGAATGCCATAAAATGTTGATTTTAGACAGGTCTTTTTTTTGGGCGGGGGTGGGGTGGGGGCTGAATCTTGACATAATCCCACCTTGCCTAAATGACACAATGTCAGAACTAACCTTTACTTCTTCTGGATTTAAATTAATAAATGTATCAATATCCATAGCAACATGAGATCTAGCCAGCTTTTTCAGCTCTTCAACAGGAGCTCCCCCTTAAAAAGACAAAAAAAGAGTAAGATTTCTGTGGGAAAGGTAACATCATTCTTGAAAAACCTTCTTGAATCCAAGCAGATTTAAGTAAAAGGTGGTTAAAGTTGGGATGGAAGATGATGTGTCCAGATGGATTACTATCTCCATCATGTAAACAAGAACTTTCTACACCCCTCTTCCAAAACCTATAAGATTCTACATGTAATAATTTTAATATAATTAACAATGAAATGTGAATAAATCTATGCATGTTAATCCATTATTCCCATAGTATTCTTGTCTAATCAATTTCCTATCCCCATATTCTCAGAGTTTGATTTGATCATTGTCATTATCCATTTTAGTCTTCTTGAAATGTTTCTAGAAATAGTATTGGATGAAAGACAATGGAAGCTCAGTCACAAAAGCTGTTAGAGATTAAACAATGGATTTTTGTAGGTAACTAGGGCCTAAAGAACATTTTGGAGAATACATCACATACTATTTGTGAATAGTATGGTATTAATAGTTATCAATTAGCAAATGACCTTTAGATGTGCCCCTATGTTAAGGTGACCAGACGTCCCGATTTCAGCAGGATGGTCACGCTTTATAACAATTTGTCCTGTGTCCCAGTCTGTTTTTAAAAAGTCCCGATTTCCTGGCTTCATGTTGAAAGCCCAGTGGATTTGATTAAGAAATCCTAACCGGGGCAAGACAAAAGACACCCTGTCTAATCCCTCTCTCTCTCTCTGTCTCAGTACTTTCATTGAAGATATTAAAAAGTTAAAGCAACAAAACGGACCCCCCCGCGCCCCTTTTACTCACTTTTATAAGAAAAAATGACCAAGTACCATAGAGCTCCAGGAAATGGCTAGAGAGGTCGCCAGAACACGCCAGGAGTGTTACTTCCTGGATTTTCCGGAGGGGAGGGGCACGGAGGTTGGAGATCTGCTCCAAAATGGTGGCAAAGTTTCTTTGAAAAA